TTACAACCACTCTAGGAGGTCAAAGGCCTTTGTAAGTTGTTTAATCCAGCCATATAACTAAAAGCAATCTCATTTCTCCTTAATTTTCCCGATTACTGCAAACAGAAATAGATGCATCTAAAATAGACGCTCTCACGAAACAAGTTGGCGGCGAAGTGGATCAGCCCTCTTACAATTTTATCCTGCCTGCCAAAAAGCTTGACTTAGAGTGATACTTTTATTTTAATTGCACATTACGCAATGTGCATAATTAATTTTGTTGGCTTTATGAGCCTTGATTTTATTGGCATGGAGCAAATATCTAAAAGGTTGCATATACTTTCCAGCCATCTTTACAGTTTTTTGCACAGCTAACGACACAAAAAATTATGGAACAATATTCTAAAGTGGGCATATCAAGAGGTTGCCTCTAAATTGACGCAAAGAGAAACAAAACAAACAAGCATCATATAAGCTTGCAGTTATGGCCTGCCTACAAATACCACAAAAGCCGATCTAGGAACAGTAAATAGCAATTAGAATAATCTTAACTAAGCTGATTTAAATGACTTATCAAAATGGAAAATAGCTTGTGGGCAGCAATGAAATTGAAAAATTATTTGTTTTTAAATGGCTGAAATTATACTTATTTAGAAGTAACGATTCAAGTCTGAATCAATGAATAGGTTAGCCTTTAAAATGAAGCGCTTAAACGCATCTTAGGCTATGGAGGTGGAATTAACTCACAATCGAAGAGTTGCAAAAAAATATCAGGTGTGTCTCGCAAGGTCTCCTGGAAGATGCCTGGCAGGAATTGACCAAGAAGAGCCTGTATTCGACGACCGACCTGTTTGTCAGCCAGACAGCGCGCTAGCAGCTGTATAACGGACTGGCGAATTTCAAGGCTGGAGGCCGTGACGAGGAAGGTGAGTAAGTAGATAAGACCGCCACGATAGACGAATTCTTTCAGGAGGCTAGTTATCACCACTAACCTGTCTAGTGTTTCGATCAACATAAGATGGCCTTTTAAAAATGAACAGAATAAATTAGTAGAATAAGGGAGATCATGATAACAGGGGATAAGAAGCAAGAAGCAAAAAAGAAAATTAGATGGAGAGAAAATAGTGTGGGTGGAATGAGAGAAGGAGCTATAAGGTTTTTCAAATAGGACTAGGCTTTTGTTTTCATATCAATTATAGTAGCCAAAATGTTAGTGTTGATACTTAGAAAGGGTACCTTAATATGCACTACCGGCGAAAATAGAGATTAATTCCTTTCCATGATAAATTTATTTGGCCCTAGAGCATGGAAATCACTATGCAGTAAAAATGTAGGGCCTGAATGAACCGATAAGAAGCTGTTGTTAAATACTGGTATCATTGTACCAAGGCTCAACATAAGTAAAGTTCAGATTCCACGGTCATTGTGGCAAGGACAAGAGTCGAATGCTGAGATAATTAACCACAAAATCATGAAAATTAAATATCACTTAGAAATTTCCTAATTGTCGGTTAATTAATGTTCGTTCATGAGCGAAAAGAAGGTGTCAATGAAGTATATCACCACAAGGCCCAATAATCTGCGTGATTACTTAATGGCAGTGGCAAATGGAGAAGGCTTCAACACAAATAATAAAATTTTCTCGAACTCGATTAAAGTAAGTATTACGAACTCAGGAGAGGCTTTCTGCAACATATTAATAGTTAACATAAGTCAGGCTGAAAAAAGTCAAAGATCATCTAATAAAGATAAGCTCTCAGCAACCTAGTAGCAACATCTGCCGTAAAAATAAGTTAACAGGGCTGCTGCGTAAAACCAACCTCGATGGTGTAAGGTGAAGGGCAAATAATCAACGAAAAGACCCCCGCCAATCATAATTTAAACGCAGTGCGAATAGGTTAAATTGAGTGAAATTAACATGAAAGACTGTCCAATGTGAATTTTCAAGATTAGTTATATTCTCAAAGCAAAGCTGTGGGAGCAGCCGGAGGCAGTCAGCAACATCTTTTGTGGTAAATTATTAAGGTACAGTCTTGGTTTAAAAATGAACAGCAAGCCAGAAGAGGAAAATAAATGTAGCCTTTGCAGCAAGATATATAGGGGTATAATTAGGCTGGTCTCATAGCCCTAATTATAACTACCTTTTCATTCAGCAAAAGATGCAAACTTGTTCAAATAAGTGAAGATTTTTTGTAGCAAATAAATGGTAAAATCAGGAAAATTTATTTACAGAGTAAATAAAAATCAGATATATGCGTAGTTTTGATACAAAGCTAGGGATTTCACAGTCCAATCATGCCCGATTCCGTCATGTTAAGAAGCGAGACAAACTTGGTGACCGAATGAGATGTTTTGTAATAGTGCCCTTGATCAATCAATTCTTCCTAGTTTTCGGCTATCCGGGCATATTTAGCAGAATATAAAATTATTTCTTATTGACCCGTACAAGTGAAGTCACTTCACTTTTTCTTTGACGAGGTCGTATCTTGGTGCGGAGAATGGCAAGGCTCACTGATGATGCCGACTACGATGCCGGCGAAACGTTTGAG